TAATCCATATAATTGCTTTCCGGTCCATAATTTTTTTGGTTTCAAATATGCTGGTGTTGGAAGATCAATTTCTGTTCCTGCATTATGGAACCAGCACGCCCATTGCATCATATCTTCTTCTTCAATAACAAAATCTTTACTTGTAAGAAGATATGACGTAGTAAGAAAATCTTGTGTTTCTGCAATAATCATTTGACCAGTTCTTGGTGTTTGAAGATTCTTTGCTGAATGCATTAACATTAAACATTCAGCCCTTGCTTCTTCTGTTTGTGGTACATGTAAATTCATTTCATCTCCATCAAAATCTGCATTATATGGTGTACATACACATTCATTAAAACGTAAAGTTCTCCAAGGAAGAATTTTTGCCTTATGACACATAATACTAATTCTATGTAATGAAGGTTGCCTGTTGAACAATACAATATCATTATCTTCCAAATGTCTTTCAACAATATCCCCAATTTTTAAATCTTTAGCAAATTTTTCTCTCATTTCTAATTTAATACACATAGACCTTCTTAATCCATCAGTACCACCAATAATACTATTACATCCTGGATAAATATTAGATCCATTAATGACTAATTGTCTTAACTTATCAATATTATGTTTAGTTACTCTTTCTGGATATGTTAATTTTATTGCCATTAATTTAGGAACTCCAATTTGTTCAATATCCAAATTAGGGTCAGGGGAGATAACTGTTCTTCCAGAAAAATCAACCCTTTTACCTAATAAATTTCCTCTAAATCTACCATGTTTTCCTTTTAATCTTTGACATATTGATCTTAATGGTTTTCCTTTATCATCACAACCAGGCAAATCTGAATTAATAAACATTGACACTGCAATTGTTAACTGATCCCATGAGTCATAATATTGATATGGTGAAGCTCCTCTTTTAATCATTTCTTTAATTCTATCATTACATTCCATAATTTCTTTTAACTGTGTTGTTAAATCATCTTCATTTGAAGCATTTCCACCATCCATAGCAACAGATGGTCTAATGGCAATAGGAGGAACTGGGACAGAAGTTAAAATCATATTTTCTGGTGGTGCATTATCTGGATCAAAGTCCATTGTTTCTATATCTTCTCTAATAAGACTTCTGAATATTGAAAGAACTTTTCTTGGGTCAAGATCTTCTTGTGCATTATCAACAAATGCATTAATATCTTTATCAAGTTTAATTGATTCTTCAAAACCATCATAAAATTCATTCATTTCAGTAATAGTAGCGTCTCTATGATATTTGTCATGAACAAGTCTTAAATTACCATATTTTTTAATACTCCCATTAATAGCATTACAATGAGGACAACTATTATAATGTTTTCTACATTGAGTAATTAATGCTCTTACAAGATAAGTACGTGCAACAGTATCTGTTTTTTTATTTCTCATTCTTCTTAAATAAAAATCACGTTCTTCATTAGTTAAAAGAATTCTATTACAATTTTTACAAACACATTGTAATACTTGAATAATTGGTCTAAAGAATCCAATATGAAATACTGGTAATTCTAAATTAATTACAGCAAAATGACCACTACATTCTTCTATCCTTTTACCACATGTTTCACAAACACTTAGTGAATCACAAACCCCTAATCTTCTATCAAGAACACCATTAGGATTTGGTTTTCTTGTGTTTGGTTGAAACAAAAAATGTTCAGTAACTTCAAACTCACTCTCTCGATTCATTTCTTCTTGACTAAACATAGTAAATTGAATATCACATACTTTACCAGGTCTTTCTGATGGACCAACAAATTCAATATTTTCTTTATCAATTTCAATTTTTCCAACACCTTTAAGTTGGCGTGTTTTTCCTTTACTCATATGAATACTAATTTCTTTCTTAGTTTTTTTTTTTCCTTTTTATTTTATTTCTTCTTTTCTTTAGTTATGTTTCTTTCATTGGGTTCTTTCACTATTCATTAGAATATTATCCTACTCTTTATTAAAAAACATTTTATTTAACCACAAATTTGAGTCTTTAATCTTATTTTTTTTGTTTTTTTTCTTTTTTATAATTTTGTTTTAGGGTTAAAATATATTAAAAGTATTATTTAATAATAAACTTTTAATATAATTAAAGTTTGATGTATCACTAAACTTAAAAATTTAAAATTATGAATATTAGATGTTATTCAAATAATCAACAATTACAAAATGGAGGTTTGAAGATCAGTTTTAGGACATAAAGGATGTTCAAACTTATAACTATACACTGACATACTTTTTGTAAATTTTGGTTGAACACGCAAAGAATCAAAGAAAGGGTGATAAAGTAAATCCTAAATAAAATGAACAAATATTTAATGAATAAAAGAAATAAATACAAACACCTAATCCCCAATAAGTATTTTTTATATTTTTTAAATACTTTTTAAAATCTGTTAATAATTTTTTGTCTTCAATAAGAGTTTTTGATTGAACATAATTAAATCCTTGTAATGATTCACAAAATTTAAGACGATCAACATATTCATCAAATAGTTCTTGTCCTTTTCCTATTATCTCTCCATCAACTTGTATTCTTGAAGAACCAAAATCACATATTTTTACTACAGTAATCGAAGTTTTCCATGCACTATTATCAAATGGATTAAAATAATAATGATCTTTCTTTGCTTTATTTATCATTATATTATTTGCATGTAAATCATTATGCATGAAAGATAATTCTTTTTGTCCAATCATTAAAGCCCAAATAACTTGAAATATTATTTCTTTAACTTCTTGCATTTCAAATAATTCTCGTTTTGATATTGATTTTCTTTTGGCAAATGTCATTTCTGCATATTCCATAACAAATGATATTTTTTGTTCTGAATCCCCTTGATGTTCAGACTCATTAACAAATGACTTAAACCATTGATACATATAAATAAAATTATTACAATATCGTTTTATCATTAACTTTGCTAATGCTTTAAATATTCTACACTCAGCATATGATGTTTCTTGAAAATCTCGAGGTTTTTTAATAATTTGAGTTTTCATAGCAACTTTTTCTGGTTTAGTAGAAACAGATAATTTTTGGTTATATGTTCTTACGGTATTAATTGGACTTAGTGGCTGACTTCTTTTTCTTTGAACTCCATTTTGTCGTTCCATTGCTGCAATACTTTGTCGCGACAATGGAACGTCAAAACCTTCTGATTCAATTTTACTTTTTTCAAATAAATAAACGGTGTTTGATGGTCTTGAACGTTGTCGTTGTGGTGGTCCTTGAATTATTGAAAGAGATTGACGAAGTGGTGGTTGAAGAGAAGGTCTAATGGATACACGAGGAACATCAAACTCTTTTTTAACTTCTGCAACAAAAACACTTCCAAACCTTCCATGTGCTATTTCATTTCCAACACTAATACAATCATTTTGTAACTGGGACGTTTCTGGTATGTCAAAGAGTTGTGAAACGGTTCTTCGTGAAGTTGACATATAACTATTAAAACAAAAAATTTATTTTTTTTTTCAGGGTTTTCATTTTTATTATTTGTATTTTAAAAGAATACAAAAATCGGTCGTTGCGGGGGTCGAACCCACGGCCTTCTCCTTCGGAGGGAGATGCGCTTCCACTGCGCTAAACGACCCTTTCATATAATTATTTAAAATGTCAATGTAACAATAATCATTAAAATGTCATATTTCATATTAAATATAAAAAATAATATTCATAATATTTGTACTATTAATAAGTATCATCATTATGAAAAGAAATAGAACTACTATTAGTTAAATATTAAGAGAACATGAATTAAGAATGAGGTGATAAAAATTAAGATTGAATTGATATCCCGAATTCAAACAATAAGAAATTAGAAAAAATGGTTAATATAGTAAGTAAATTATAAAAAAAAATAATAATTTATGTCATGAAGAAAAAAGGAAGATTACAAAAGTTTCTCATTGGAACGTCTTTTCATATCAAAATAAAAATAAGAATTTATAAGGGGAGAGAAAACTAAGTATTAAAAGTATTGAAACAAAAAGTGATGGTCAATACTACATTATTAATTCTAAAACTAAGAATTAATTAACTCAAACAATGTTATTACTACTGATTTAAAAAATGCAATGATTTATTAATTAATAATTATGCTATGGAAATTAGAGTGAAGCATTTAAAGATTTATTAAATCATAATATTCTAACAAGATTAAAAATTGTTTTTGCTATACTTATAGTAGTACAAAAGAAATGGTTAAGTTTAGAAGTTTTCTTCAACTTAGAATAAATTTAGCTAATTTACTTGAAAATCTTACTGAAGATGATTTACCATTTATTATAACTAATCTTCCTGTTGATATATAAATGAATTTGTTATTGAGAGTTGTAGAAAATAAATATAAGTAAGAGAGATTTACTGAAACTGTTTTAAATTTTAGTTTACCAATTGTATTGAAAGAATTAATAAATGACAGTCTATTAATAACGATATACTATATTATCAAAAATCTATAAAAGAGTAGTTTTCTTGTCAAGTATCAAATCAGTCTGAATTTAAAACACTTAAAAAATACTTAGAGGAAAGGAAAATATTATTATTATTGTAGAAAATCAAAATGAATTTAGTCTTGGTTGTTATATCAATAAATTTCCAACTTTAATTAAAAGACTATGAAAATTAATTGTTCAGTTTTGAGTCTAAAGGGATTTGTGGTAAAATTGAAGATAATACAATAGAACAAACAGGTATTATTACTTTAAATAATGGTAAATTAGAATTAAAAAACTATTTTAAAATTGAGTCCAAAGAAGACTATTTAACCTTTACTTAGAAAAATCATTTCGAAGATTCTTTCAATGGTGCTTCAACACTTGGATATTCTCAACGTGGTTTTGGTTTAGAAGGATCACAAGTATCATATAGTAAAATGGTATTCAATATATTAATTTAAATTTTGTTTTTAATAAAAGATTTGTGTTAATTTCCTTGAAAAAGTAAAAATTTGAACTTAAAAAGAAAAATTGTTCCTAAATTAATGCAATCAGAAACAAATGATTTAATTCAATTAATTAATACTCAAGTAACGTATCCATCTTCATCAATAACTTCACCGTTATGTGGAGTTACAAATGATTGTACTATTTTTTATACATATGAAAATAATGAATTAATAGCATATAATATTTGTCCTAATACTAATCATAATATGTGGAAGAAAAGAAGATTTCATTTAAGTCAAGTTCTACAAATTGTTCCATGTGGTTCTTTTATATTTTCTATACAATCTAAAAATCCTTCAACGTGTTGTGGTACTGAATTATGTGGATTTAATTTAGAATTAGACATAACATATAGTTATGCTATTAGAATTCAACCAGAAGTTATGTCAAATGCTTTTATGGATGAAGGTGGTTTTATTAAATTTATTATTGCAGACTATCCTTGTTGTCTTCGCCTTATAAAAATTGATGTGAGTGATAGTAGAAAATTACCAAAAATTACTACTATCAAATGTAAAGATTTTTGTTCAGCTGAAGATCAATACGGATTTTGTGAATATTATTTTAAAGCCAAATACTCGGACAGTTGTTTTCCTCCTTTTGATAAAGAATTAAATATTAAAGCTGGTCATATTAAATCAATTCATTTTGAAGCAAACAACTTTATTACTGTTGCATTTGATAATGGTTTTGTTACTAGACTATTCCTTGATAAAGAAAAAAATGAATGTGAAATATTGATGAGTGGATTTTTATCCAAAGATTATATCTGTTCCCAAATTGTAGAATCATTGAATGGTTTTATGTTGGTGTTTCAAGACCATTCTAATCAGTCTATTATCTATTTCTTCAAATCTAATAAAACAAAAGAATGTTCGTTAATTAAAACAATAAAGATGAATCAAAAAACTGTAAATGCTTTAGTACTTCGTTCTATTTATGATGTTGATAAATTGTATGCTGTTCAATTTATTCAAAGTACGATGGCACAACCAAATAAAAAAGAAGAAGTTTTAATGGAACATTTAATTACTACTATTATTTATGATCTTAATGGAGAGTTGATTAAAAAAATAGCCCCAGTTTATTATTCTCATTCCGGAGAACATATCTCATTTCAAACAAATTTTATTTGGTATCCAGAACAATTTAGTTCATATAGATTATTTCCTAATACTGAAAATTTAATACCTTCATATTCAGTATGTACTTTAGTACATGATTTTAATAATGTTACTACTTCAATTAATGAAATTTGTATAACATCAGAAAGATTTGAAATTTGTAGAAGAGAAATACAAATGTTACCAAAATTAATAATTAGAAAAGAACAATTTTTAAAACCAGAAGATATATCGTATCATAATATTTATTGTTCTCAATTTAATTTAAAAAAATTTAGTTTATTAAGAACACAAGAAGGAGTTGAACAAGTAATGAATATAATTTATAAATTCGATTTTTTCGATTTTATATTAACTGAACTAAGAAATTCATTTAATAATAAAGCTGTTGATGAGTCTTGTATTAAATATTTAACTCAAAGTGTTATTAATGCATATCTTTCAAGTTCAAGAACAATTATAAATCTTTTATCAGAATTAGTAAAACAAGGCAAATCAGTATTATTAGCGGGAATGGAAAAAATTCATAGAACATATTCACAAATAGTGACATATCTTGAGATTGTTCATAGTGAAGAATATTTAAAAGATATTAAAATAAAACTTAGAAGTATTGATATATTTAAACCATTTATTGCTCAAAATAATATTCAATTTGAAGAACCATTAAATTTTATGCCAACAATAGTTAATACTATTAACAGAAAAGTATTTAATGGAATAAAATTTAAAAATGATTTATTTTCTGCATTTATATATTCATTTGAACATGACATTACTATTGGAATATTATTTTATCTTTATACTATTTGTTGTGGTGAATCAAATTATATAATTATTCCAGAAATTAAAAGAGCATTTAGTTTATCATTGTGTGATGGTGATAGAATTTTTTATGATGATAGAAGGTATTCTGATAATGAATTAACTATGATGTTATTTAAAGGAAGTAATCGTTTTGATAATTTAAAATTTATTTTTGATAAATTTTATGCAATTGATTCATCTCCCAGTACTATTCTTACTACTTCAATACCTATAATGAATAATTTATTATCAAGACAATGTATAGAAGATGTGGCTGAAGGGTTTGCTGAATATTGTCATAATCAATTAATAGAACCCACAATCATTAGTGAAAAAAATGGATTTTCAAGAAGTGTATTACGAAATAGACCAAGTGAATATATTCAACAAGAGAAAGGTGATGATGATACAATTGACAGAATGAAAAATTTTTTTGGTATTGGAATGCACCAACTTATTAATACCGAAAATGGCATTAAAGCAATAATTACTTGTGGAATTTATCTTAAAAAATTTAAAGACACTTTTTCTGTTGTTAGAGAATACTTAGATAAAACAAGATATACTCAAGACGATATTAATAAATTGGACTATATTATTCCTGAAGATATGAGATCATATATTCAATTAGATAATGCTCCAACTGATAAAATAATATTATCAAATGAATTGATTAATTATATATTTGAAGAGTCATATCATTTACAACGCATTATTGAATGTTATGATGCTATTAAGAATACTCTTTGGAAAGAATGTTTAATTTATCAAACTATGTTATCAAGAAATCATCAACATGTATTGACATTATTTTCTATTCTTATTCATGACAAAAATGAAAATGATATTAAGAATCTTGTATTATTGTATTTGTATTGTTCTATTGATCTCTTTAAAGATGAAGAAAAATCTTTTGTCATTATACAAAATGAATTTAAGAAATATGGACGTCTCTTTAATAAAGAAATAACTCTTCTTTTGAAAACTCAACAAGACACTTTTAATTCTCTTAAAACAGAGTATCAATATTTATGGAATCAAAAGATTAATCATTTCATTGGAAAATAAATGAAAAATAATTTAATTTATTTAAATCTTATCACTTTTTTTAAAAGAAAATCATTTTTGGTCTTTTTCTTTCAGTTTAATTATATTCCTTTGTTTAAACAGAAATGAATATAGTAAATTGTCTACTATGAGATTAAAAGTCTCACTTTAAGTGAATTTATTTAATAATAAAATACTCATTAAAAAATATTAGTCAATAATATAGAAGGATTCATTTTATGAAATAGTGCAAAATAAGTTAAGAATAAATGTGATAGAATTAGTATATAAAAACACTAATATGCACACTTTTATCAAAGACAATAAAACAATATTTGGCACTAATAAAATAAATATAATAAACATAACAAACAAGAAAAAAATAATAATTATTATAATGTTTATTAATTGATTAATTATATTCCTTTTGATTGTCTTTATTAAATTTGAATAATCGCCATCGAACATTATAAATAATAAAAATCTATTTTCTTTTACTAAAGCTATAATCTAAGATTAATTCTATATATCGTTATTAGTAAATCTAACTTAATTAATAAATGAGTAACAAAACATAATATAGAACCCCCATAAAAGAGATTTTTCTTAGACTTTGCCTTCTATTTAAATTATAGGATAAACGTTCAAAATCTGCATTATTTAAATTGGAACTTATAAAAATAAACAAAGAAAATATAACATAGTCATTGCTTTAACAACACTCAAATTATATCAGGTGATAGGTTGAGGCTCCCGTTTGTTTATGCCTTAGTACAGGAGAACATAAAGAGTTTCGTTCTATCAGTATTTTATTTCTTTTATCCCAAATACATCCATCCATAACATCAAATCCAATTCTTTGACTAATGGTCTCAATTGTAACATTAAGTTCATCAAGTTTATGGGTATAATACAAATAATTGTTTAATGCTTGATCAGTACCCCACTTTTCAATTTTATCTTTAGGACAGTACTGCTTGAATAACTCACAGTACCTCTTAACTTTTTGTATATTCCCAATAACAATACCTACATTGACTATTCTTTTTCTTTCTTTTCTTAGTTGATTTGCAAGGTTTTTTCCAAAAGTATTAGTAAGCCATTTGTAATTTAACTTTTGAGTATAATCAATACACTTGATTGTCCCATTTCCTTTACCACTGCATTCGTTGGTAATTACTAATTCATCTGGTCTAATAGTAGAAAATGCATCAGCAAACCAGATAACATCTCTGAAATCAGTGATGGCAACTCTATCAAACTCTCCTCCATGTTGTTTCAAATATTCAAGTAGATCAAAGAAGCGATATACAGCAGCATTACAAACTTGGTTATATTTTAATTCTTTTTTTCTTCGAATAACTTTAACATTAAAACTTTTCATAAGATCGAGAAATCCATCTGGTGCTTGGCCATACAATACTAAAACTTTCTTAACATTTGGTATTCCAGATTTAAGAATTGACATAGTTCTTACAATTGTTTCTCTTTGTTTGACCCACATTTCTTGATTCTTAAAATACATAGCCCAAAACACCAAATCCCTTTTGTTATTTGGTTTATATCTAAAAATGTCTCGGCACTTTCCATCATAAAGAAATTTGGAAGTGTCAATTGCTTCATTCTTAAATGTTGGTTGGACAAACAATTTTCTATAATCAATACTAGGACCACCATCGATATGTCTTTTTATAATTACTGTCTTATTGTTTTTTATTATAACAAAGAAAAGAGAGGACATTACAAACAATAAAAAACCAGTAAAGACAGTAAAAGTTAATTTCATATAACTAACAAAGTTTAAGTTACTTAAAAGTTCTTTATAGAGGAGGGCGTATTTTGGTAGTTCAGGGTTATTTTTACAATTGTCACAGTAAAAAGAAGTATTATAAAATTTAACTAATTAAAAACTATTAGAATTATTTTGAAAGATGAGTGTATTTATGAGTTATATGGATAATGTTTATATTTAAATAAATAAACATTACCTATTTTTATGTTGATTAGAAAATATTTTAACTATTGAAACAAATATTATTTAATTTGACAATTTGTAAATTATTTATTTAATTTCTTTTTATTTAAATTTCGGTTTGTTGTGATTTTA